AGCAGCCAGGTCCAGGACTTGAACCACAGTTGGCCATGTGGGAATCCAGCACCTTTAACCACCACGCTACCTGCCAGCCCCTTAAGCTCTGTTTTAAGTAGAGGACTGAGTTCTTAGACAATCTCTCATTAACTTTTGATATTCTCTCTCATGTCTTTTGGTATTGAGAATCCTATTGCTGATTCTATTTCAAAGCATCGTCTCTCTCTACTTCCAGGTTTTTTATACTTTCCTGTACTGGAAGAATAATTTTTCCCAGCTTTATTGAGATGTTCAACAAAAATTATATATATGTAAGATATCCCATGTAATGATTTAATATATGTGTACATTATGAAATTATTACCATAATCAAGCTAATTAAAATATCCATCATCTCAGAGAATTACTCTTTATATCAAAGAAGCATTTTTTAGAGAGGAATTTTTGCTATACAGTGTGTGTACTCACCAGAGAGACAGAGAGAAAGTGAGAAATCACCCTCCGGGGAGGATGGCCATGCCACAATTCCACCTCCTCCATTCTCCTGAGCCTTTGGCCATGCACACAAACACTCCTGGTGTTTTTTTCAAGCCAATGTGTCTGAGACTAGAAATTGTGTAGTCATCCATGTGGGATCCAGTCACCCTAACCACCACTCCAGTTGGCTGGGCCTCTTTCTTTTTTAATTTGCCCAAGGGACAGGGACAGTGAAGGAGGAGGAAGAGGGAGAAAGCACCCCTTTCTATTGCTCTGTCTCTCTCTGTCTTCCTGGCGAGCACATGCACCTATAGCAAGAATACCCTCTCCAAAAAAAAAAAAAAAAAGTGTGTTCGTTTTTAATGCGAGAGAGATGGAGGGAGAGAAAGAGATAGCTATTTTTGACAGGGTCTCTCCATGTCATGATCCTCTGCCCCAGCATCCTAGGACCACAGGTGGATACCACTGCCTCTAGCCTTTTTAGCTTAGTCTGGGAACCAAACCCAGGCCTCCTATGTGCCCCTACCTTCATGCAGTGAGGCCCTGCCACTTACTCCACCATGGCTGGATCTCAAAGTTATTTTTATTGGTATTTTTTTCATGGTTTTCTTCTTGTCCCTTTAACTTTATTTTTAATTCTTTAAAGAAGTTTATTTTGGGCGAGGCCCATAGTCTAGTGGTTAAGAAAGCCAGATACCACACGGCCAACCACACAATTCAAATCCTGCTCCAGCAACTTAAAAAACATGCCAGGCATATGTACGTGCCCAAAATCCCAACAGGATGGAGAAATGGAAAAGGGATTGCCACATGAGAAAACCTCATTTTGGGGTGACCCCCCATGCCGTCTTTCTCTGGCAAGTGCATGTGCCCTCTAGCAATAAAAAATAAAATAAAGTTTATTTACTTATTTATTTCTTCAGAGAGAGAGACAGTCACCCACAACAGGATCTTTACATCAAAGTCTACCCTCAACCTCAGCAGCCAGGATCACAGGTACAAGCATGTGCCTGGCATGTATAAGGAGGTTTCAGGTAACAAACAAATGCCAAGGCCTTTACCATATGGCTTTGGCATCAGTGAGAATTGTGTTGCTGCTGCACCACTGAGGGCTGGCCGCTCTGGTTGTAATGATCCTTTTATTTGCTGTTCTTCAAATTCAAAAGTAATAAATGCTTGTTATAAGCAGTAAAACAATGCAATACAAACACATAAAATTTAACCACCCTTGCCTCAACCTCAGCCTCCTGATGTGACCAATATATATATTTCTTTTTTAGAGAGAGATTTTTGCTAAAGGGTGCATGCACTTGCTGGAGAGACAGATAGAAATGAGAAATCACTCCCCAGGGGAGATGACCACACCACAATCCCTTCTCCTCCATTCTTATCTCAGGATTTTATGCTGCATGTACATGTGCCCAGTGTGAGTTTAAGCTTCCGGGTCCAGGACTCAAACCACAGTTGACTATGTGGGAGTCCAGCGATGTAAGCATTATATCATCAGTTGGTCCCTGATGTGATTAATATTAACAGCCTGCTGAGTAGCCTTCCATAATTCTGCTTGCTCATAGAAACAGATCAAATATATATGCACACACATAATGTTTGTTTTCACCAAAACAGTATTTGACATGTTATTCTGCAATTTGCTTCATTTAACAATATACCTATATAGAGAGACATATTTAAATATGTGACAATAAACAATATGTATTTGTGAACAAAACACAATGGAGATCTTCTACAGTCTTAAATTCTTTTACTGAGACCAGCAGATGGCATAATGGTTACGTTGCTGGACTCCCACGCAGTCGACTGCAGTTCAAGCCCTGGATCCAGCAATTTAAACTCAAGTCAGGTGGGTGTGCATGCATGCCTAAAGTCCCAAGAGGAGAAGGGAGAAGGGATTGCAGCGTGGCCATCCCCCTGAGGGGTAATTTCTCGCTTTCTGTCTCTGTCTCTCTAGTGAACACATGCACCCTATAGCAAAAATCTCTCTTAAAAAAATTTCCAGTTCTAAAATTCATTTTTGTGTTCCATTAGACAACATGCTGCCATCATAACTATTTGTACTGAATTGCTTAATACCTTTTCTTCTTTGGTTGCCTACATTGCATGAAGGCAGCAGACTTATTTTGTCCACCATTATATTCCCAGAATCTAGGGTAGTGCTATCAGGAAAGTAATTACTTAAAATCTTAATACTTGTACAGTGTTTTAGTGCTCCCTGAAACTGTCAGTGACCCAGGCTACTTAAACTGCGCCACTGACAACATTCATATATGTGTCTTTAGGAACTCAGGCCTAAGTAAATCACCACTTAATGTTATTTGAATAAAAACTAGAGACAGTATGCTTTTTCCCGGCCCATGTATTAAAAAAAAAAAAAAGACAGTACGTTTTAAAGTTCTTAGAGAATTTGTGCTGTTTAGGCAAAACCCCTTTGCCAAAAAAAAAGACAAATCACAAATTTACCGGAAAGAGAGTCCTGCACTAGTAGTAATTAAGACATGTGACTGCAGTATCTCCATGCTGGGAAAGTTCATTTTGTATGTTGTAAAGAGGCACAGTAATTAAATGTAAAAAAATAAATAAATAAAAATAAGAAAATAAAGTAATTAAAGAGATCTGAATTCTAGTCCCATGTATGTCAAAGGCTGTGCGGGCCTTTCAAAAGTTCCTTATTCTCTACGACTCTAGATTCTCATCTATTTCCCTAACAAATATGCCCACTGTGAGTTTAAGCTTCCGGGTCCAGGACTCAAACCACAAATAACTATTGTCTACTGCATGCTAAGTGCTAGAGATGCTGGGGTGAGTAGCAAGAGTCAGCATTTAAAAATTACTCTCTGTTTAATCATTTGCAAAGGGATTGTATACTTTACAAAGCAGGAAACTGAGGCAGAGCGAAGTGAAGTAACTTTCCCAGGCTATCAAAGGACAGGACTAGATTCTAGGCAAGGAGGCTTCAGATCCCATTACAATAATCATAGCGAATCCTTGCCCTCATAATTTGATGACTATTTCAGTGGCTTGCATTTTGGTCTCTGCCCAGGGGTACAGGATGGAGCACCCTCTTGTTGACCTGAGGTTGCAAAGATGTAGGGCAACGTTAGAGAAACCATCGACAGAGCTGATACAAGCCCCGCAAGGATCAAGATTCTTCCTAGCTCTCTCAGCTTCCGCGCTGGGAAGGTGGAAAAGTGGAAGGTGTCAGCAAATCGTACTCACGCCCGCCTCTCT